TTCCCCTCGCAGGTCAATGCTTTCCTAAACACCCTAGGGCATGATTTCCCTCCAACAACTGTAGAGAGCTGTTTTGATTGTTTTTCAATCAAGCGAGACAAATGCTAATTAGATTTTGTTTCTGAGGAGCTGCAGAATTCTAGGCTTCTTTAATGAAGCATGGATGACTGGCACTTCTCTGATAGCTTCGGTGGCACTTCTCTGTTTGGCCTGACTGCTTACTGTCAGGACTTTATTATATAAATATGCACAGACAGAGAGTGTCTGTGCATATGAAGCTTGAGAGATTTTGTTGTTTAATTTGCTTGAACAGTATCGTTCCTGTACTAAATAAGAATATTATTGACACAATATTTTATTTGACATGGAGAAGAAAGGCTATGGCTTCCAATTCTGGTCTCAGAAGTGTCTTAAATTACTGCAGATGTTCATTTCCATCCTTACAACAGAGTTTGACCTGATTCTGTGGTTGAAAACACACAAAATGTAAACCAACACAGAAGCAGGAGGAGCTGAGTAAACAATCTGTACTTTTTGGAGTTTTTTTGAACATTTCTGAGCAGAGAACAGCACTTTCTTATAGCGTTATGAGACATTTTGATGACTCGGGGTGGGCTTCCATTATCATATTTTGGGTGGAGATTAGGCCCTAATAATAAGATTCAGAGAAGATTTCATATATGCATCCCAAAATTAGGTAAAGTGTTGGCTGGACCTGGTCATCCCGCTGGTAACTTTCCATGCTTACATTGAGCTTGAGCATTTCTGTGGATTATTCTGCTAACCTGATTTTGACTACTCCCAGTGGGGTTACTTTTTGTGACCTTGACCTTTGAATTTTTTGAGCAAAAATTTAATCACTTCTGGGGTTGGTCCCCACCAATGTCTGTACCAAGTACTGTACTGTATGCTGATGATCCATCCAGCCATTTGTCCTTAATCCTGCAAAACAACACGTAAACACACACACACGCACAGGCACACAAACAGCAGTAATAAAACATTCACAAAAATAAGTAAAACAAATAAGTAAATATATATATATATACATATAAAATCCCCACTCACCCCCCACTTTGGGGCGGTCTTGTATTCCTTCCTTCAAACTCGATCCTATACATAGCTCAGTGGGTAACACCACTGACTTTGATACAGAAGGTTGGGGGTCCAAACCCCAGTTAGGCTAGGTGTGGGTACTCTCATGGGGAATGAGAGTTGGAAAAATAAGAGTTGCACTGACTCGGATGTCGCCCAGGTCAACGAGGTCCGCGTCAGGTGTTGAGAAACCAGGTCAACCTGATGAGAAGTGGGCTACTGGAACAAGACACTATTGGAATGCTACTGTACAAGTAACCCCAGCAAGAGGGGTTACACATGGAGAACATGAGACCTATGGATACTTCGAAACTCAACATTTAGACTAACATCAAAACAACTAGTAGCTCTGTGCTCTAACATTCGCAAGAAGCACCCACAACCAGAGAAAGTACAGCATGAATCCAGCAAGGGGGAGCCAGGACAACAGGTCAGGGGGGAGGTTGATCATCATCATCACCCCCACAATTGGAGATTGGGTACCAGGCCCGATTCAAGAGCACCTGACCTGAGATTGAAGATCATGAGCAAGCTGGACACCTGGAACTCCTGTGACTGGTTACCAAGACTAAGTGAAAGTCTACTAGAGGATGTGAATGCAGCACTAACCATCACTGAGACCAACAAGTTGATATACACCACAGCAACCATGATCCTTGAGATGCTTGGCCATAAGTTCAACAAAGGCCATAAGGAGCAGTATCCTCCATGGAGAAGGAGGCTGGAGACCAAGATCAAGGCAGCAAGGAGAGAAGTTGGCCAGCTATCGGAATTGCAGAAAGATGTGATGAAAAAAGGAGTACCTAAGAGACTGCCAAGCGAAGGCTCACAGCCCTGGCCGCTGAAGAGGTACACCAGAGAAGTTGAAGCCAGGAGAATAAACCAAATGTTCTCCACTGAGCCATCCAAGGTGTACTCTCAGTGGCAGGGTAATAACATGAGACCCACCAAGGCTGGAGACTGAACAGTTCTGGAAGAGCATATGGGAGAAGGAGGCATCACACAACAACAATGCCCAGTGGCTGGTGGACCTAAGAGCAGACCACAGCAACCTCCCTGCACAAGACCCAGTAATCATCACAATGGGTCTCAAGTATGAAGAGCTGGACAGCACCACGCCTACTGGTTAAAGAAGCTAACTTCACTCCATGAGCGCCTGGCGGGACAAATGAACCAGCTACTAATGGATGGAACCCACCCTGAGTTGTTTAACTGAGGGCCGGACAGCCCTGATCCTGAAGGACCCCAGAAGGGAGCAGTGCCATCCAACTACCACCCAATAACCCGCCTCTGCACAACATGGAAGCTCCTGTCAGGCATCATACCAGCTAAGATGAGCAGGCACACGGCTCAATACATGAGCAGCACCCAGAAAGACATTGGTAGTAACACCAGAGGAGCAAAGCACCAGCTACTGGTTGATAAAGTAGTCACTCGAGACTGCAAGACCACAGAAACATCTGTGCCGAGTACAGGCTGGAAGCCCCAAAGTCAAAATGGGATACACCTCCAAAGGTGGTTGAGAATGACCAAGCTAAGATCCTGTGGGACTTCCAGATACAAACTGGTAATGGCCAACCAACCGAACATAGTAGTGGTGGACAAACAGAAGAAGAAGGCAGGTAGTGATAGATGTAGCAATCCCAAGTGATAGCAACATCAGGAAGAAGGAACACGAGAAGGAACAAGCTCAAGAGATACCAAGGGCTGAAAGAAGAGCTAGAAAAGATGTGGAAGGTGAAGGCACAAGTGGTCCCCATGGTAATAGGAACATTGGGGGCTGTGACCCCCAAACTTGGAGAGTGGCTCCAACAGATCCCAGGAACAACATCTGAGATCTCGGTCCAGAAGAGTGCTATCCTAGGAACACCTAAGACACTTCGCAGGACCCTCAAGCTCCCAGGCCTCTGGTAGAGGACCCGAGCTTGAAGGAAGGAATACAAGACCGCCCCAAAGTGGGGGGCGAGTGGGGAAATTTTTTTTTTATATATATACACATACACACATCTGGAAAAAGCAGAAACATATAGATCATAATAAATATCAAAATATATTAATTGTTCTTCAGGGTGATCAGAAATCTGTTTTGGCCTCATACAGTGATTAATAAGCACTTTTAAATCTATTTTGTAGGTAACAGCAGCATTTGGATTGAGCTGAAATGTAACAGTCTCTTTGGGAAGACCAGACAAAAGACCATTACAGTAGCCCAGCCTGCTGGAGATGATGAACTAGTTTCTCTGAATCTTGTCTGTACATGAGACCTCAGAGTCTTGCTGTTTGTTTGAGATGATATAATGGTGATTTGGTTTTGGCCCTAATGTGAATGGTGAAACTCTCATCTGACACCCAGACTTCTAACTTGGTTTGTGTCTATATAGCTCTAGAATCAAGCTGAGCAATAACTTTCATTCTTTTCTTAACTCTACTTCTGCCTTGTCTTTATTTAACTGGAGGAAATGTATTTTCATTCAGGTATTTACTTGATCTAAGCACTGAAACTGTGAATCTTAGGGAACATGTTCACTTGGTAGACATAACTATGATAGGCAATGTTATTGTCATGTATGATTGGACCAAGAGGGAGCTTGAGCAGTTGAACACTGTCAAACAGTGGTCCAAGAAGTGGCCCTGGAGGACTCCAAATCTTAAGGCGGTCTGCTCAGATTTATGATCTCCAATGGAAACAACATAACTCGTGCCTTTGAGATAGGATTTGTACCAACTGAGGACTGTACCTGATAATCCCAGCCGGTCTTCCAGTCTGTCAAGGAGGATTTTATGGTGTACACCATCAAATCAAATAACTGCTGTTTTACCTGTGTCAGTATTGACACAAATGTCATTAAACACCTTTATCATTGCAGCTTTAGTGACTGTCATGGACTACAACCTTCGACTAACTAGTATTAACTGTTATACACTGAGACAAGGCCAAACAATGCAGTGGTATCTTGTATGGGATCATACTGTTATGATTACTATCACTAGCAATAATAATAAACTTTATTTGTAGAGCACCTTTCTAAAACTAGGTTTGCAATGTGCTTTACAAAATAAAACTCCAGTGAGGAGATGTCAAGCAATAAAAACAGCATACACTGTAGGACAAAGTACAACCACGACACATATTTAAATTTAGATTCTAAATTTAGTATAAGCAGTATTATTAGTAGTAGTAGTATATATTTATATATATATTTGTGTATGTGACAGTACCATTTTTACATTCTTCACTTTTAACCTTTTGAAGCATAATAAATAAATCCATGGCAAATGCTTTTCCACAGGCCACCCAAAGGAATGCTAATGCTTTCTTTCATTTCCACATTTTTCTATCTACATTTACACACTGAAAATTAGTTACCTTCAGTAAACCATGCTCTTTTTCATTCTGTTTCATTCATGCTGCCACATCAAAGGGTCAAAGTGTTTATTTGTCATATGCACAGTTAGGAAACATGTTTCCCTGTACAATGAAATTCTTACTTTGCCATCCACATGAATGCCACATAATACAAGTGAAATATAAAGTAGATGAGCAATAACACAAATCTAAATAGGCAGTAAAATCACAAATCTAAAGCACTTTAAAGCAGCAACTGAAGGAAGCAAATAAAAATACAACAAGAACACAATGTAATGCAATATGTTACATTTATTCTTATACCACCCTGCAGAATATAATCACTGTCCCTGCAGCAAGCTATTTTCAACAGAGCCTCTTATCAGTGCATTACATGTCAGTAGTGGAACCATCAAATATTCATGGCCATTGTGTGCATAGCATGTAAAGTTGCAGATACATATGTGCTTTGATGTGAGGTCATTGTCATTTCTCTTGGTGCATGCTGTATTTCCTGTTAATGATGCTCTCTTTCTCCTTCTTCTGTGTCGGCGTGCAGACGGACGCTGCACTGATGTACGATGCCGTGCACGTGGTGGCCGTGGCTGTGCAGCAGTCTCAGCAGATCACTGTCAGCTCATTACAGTGCAACCGACACAAGCCCTGGCGCTTCGGGAACCGCTTCATGGCCCTCATCAAAGAGGTAGATGCTTCTCTACCTTCTCCCCAATCTGTCTTCCTCTTCAACATTTGATTTGATTTGATTTATTCTTTCAAGCATGTAAAGACAGTTGATATGTCAACACACATAATTTTACACATATCCAACACATGCTAATCCAATATCAATTTGCTTATACCTAGTACATACTTGAATGGAGTAGGAAGAAGTCAGACTTATCCAGTCCTACCCCCTGACGTCATCTTACCATCATTGGTTTGCAAGCAGTATCTCTACATAGATAATTCTCTTCTACACCACACAATACCCCACACCCACAATGTTCCATCTAATTAATCATTGAGCCTGTTCTTGCATATATCTTGATTGACACATACCTTTATATTTATGTTTAAACTCGTCAATTCTATTACTATTTTTTATGTCCACACTTAGATTATTCCATAGTTTTACCCCACTTATGGAAATACAAAATCTTTTTTTGGTTGTACGTATAGCATTAATTTTTTAATTTAACTGACCCCTTAAATTGTATCCCCCTTCCCTTTCATTAAATAGTTTTTGAATTCCACCAGGTAATAAATTGTTCCTGGCTTTATACATAAACACAGCAGTCTTATATCCCACTAAATCAAAACATTTTAACAATTTAGACTGTATGAAAGCTCCATTGGTGTGATCCCTGTACCCCATCTTATGCACAATTCTTATCGCTCTTTTTTGTAATATATACAATGGTTGAAGTGAGCTTTTGTATGTATTTCCCCAGTTTTCAACGCCATACTCTAAGTATGGTAAAATCAATGAACATTGACATTAATCACCCATGCAGAAACAAAAGCACATTATTTGGTAATTGCCCCACAGTTCACTACATTTGTGAAGCTGGGGTGATAATCCAGAGCATTCTGTCTGTGGAAAGGCTGGGGATTAGGCACCCTATATTTAGGACCTGCTTAACCTACTGTTCCCCTTTAGTTTGCAGAAATCATGAAAAAACTGCTAAGAACTAAACTATATGAGTAGAGACTTGACAAGTCTAGAGAAACCACACAGATTTAGATGTATTTCTAATAAGTGCACAGTTTTTCACCACGCAAATCTCATCTTTTCTTTCTTGACCCTCCCCTCGTTCACTCTCTTTTTTCCATCTCTTCTCCATCTGCTGCTTTTAGGCTGCTTTTGTCCTCTGACGTGAAGCTCTGTAAGCCTATAGAGTCATACAGGAGGACGCCAGCATTTATAAGATGATGATGTTTAGTACAGAAGAGTCATTGGCTTGTGCTAATCCAGAGTGATGCTCTACACAGGCTGGCATGACACTGCCTTTGAAATTCTCTCTCCCACATAATCTTTACTGTAGAGAAGGACTCATATGATAATGCCCCGATTTTTGTACAAAATGGAATGTATAAATTAGCTCTGATTATGACTGCACTGCACTACATCTGTGAGAGCAACTGTGAAAAAACACTGTGGGGACATTACACTGAAAGAAGAAAATTGAAAGACATCTGTTTGGATCTCCATGAAATTGGGTGTGCTTTTTGATTGGTCCATAGTGGATGGAGTCAGTCATGCTCCCCAGAGAATGAACCTTATGACATTTATTCCGTTACCAATGAAGCTTTTGTGCTGTGTTGCCTCTTGAGTTACTAATTTGGAGAATAACACTGGCTCAAGAAAGTCACCATTCACTAAGTAAAAGCTGTCAAAAGTTTTGTAATTTTGAAGAAAAAGAAAGCCAGTGAAAAAACAGTACATACGCTGCCAGCCCTCTCGTAGTTGCTCGATATCTGCCCACTGAAGTGTTGGCTTGACAAAACTTTGGACACATTTTCCCATTCAATTTAGTGGGAAAGTGTGTCCAAGCTTTAATGGGTAGTGTATATTTATATATATACTGAACAAAAGCCACCTCATTTGTCTGCTTAGAATGATGACTTTCCACAACAAATTCTGTGACTTTGGTAGGATTTATATATCAGATTTCCAGGCAAAATGGCCAGCAGTTGTGAAATATCTTGTCTTGGACAGAGAATATGTCAGACTTGTATACCTCCCCTGATCCTTGATAATAGTAATTCTTAACAGTATGCATTCGAGGAGCACCTCACTGTATCAGTGATCAGCACTAGTATCAATGGAGAGGCATGGAGACACAGAATCAAAGTAATGCAGTATGACAGGTGCCTTCTAGCACAGCTGACTGTTCAGAGTGAGTAACTTCCAGATCTGTGACACCCACTCATTGAACTAAAGACTGGCACGGGCTTCCAGTCAGATCAGCCCTGTGATGATTTGCTGTGCCTGAGAAAAGGCCTTTTCTGCTTTGAGACACTTTTCATGCTACATTGTATCCTACCACCTATAAAGATGCAGACTTCATGCTGATGTTGCATGTCTCTCTGATATTCCCTGTGTCTACCACTGTCTCATTAGGCCCACTGGGATGGCCTTACCGGGAGAATCACATTCAACCGCACCAATGGCTTGAGGACAGACTTTGACCTTGACGTCATCAGCCTGAAGGAGGAGGGCCTTGAGAAGGTTGTGTCTTTAAAATGTGTGTCTGTGTGTTTGTACACAGATGAGTCCACCTGGTATGACAATATGATAATGAGATAAAGCACATCAGGCACAAAATCAAAGAGTCAGTGTAGCAGTGACTCATAAAAGATCAACACACACACAACCAATATGCAGCAGTACCCTATTAACATGTAGGTGTAAATGCAGTCCATTAATAGTGGACTTTCAAGTAAAACTCTGGCAGTCGTGTCAGGGCTAACAGTGGCTGTAAATGGCACAGTATTTCTAAACTTACTGTCGGTATTCAAATAGATTGGAATACAAATAATTTTCTTTCTGAGATGAGATGAGAAGCTCAATATCAACTTCATGTCTGTGTGTTAAATACAGAGCTGGTGTCTGGCTGGTTAGCCTAGATTAGCATGAAGACCAGAAGCAAGGGGAAGCAGCTAACCTGGTTGAATACATGTATTGCTACCTGAAGAGCATGATGCATTGCCTTTGTTTAATCTGTGATATTAAAAGAAATGCAATTTAATGTTGTAACTATTCATGTCAAACAGTACCAGTATTCAAGTCAAACTATGACCACCAGACTCCACGTCCTAGAGTCTGGTGGTCACAGTGAGACTGCCAGGTTTGATACCATTATGCCTGCATAGAAACTAAAACCAAACTGAGCTACGAAGCCTTAGTTTGTGTGCTAAACAAATGAGATGCAGTGTCAGTGTCAGTTTTAGAGGTGCTGTGTAAACTCTAGCTGTTGCTAAAATAGGCCCTGACTCCAGCCACAGACATGAGTTTGATCAGTCTTCTCATCTCTGTAGCCAGTGAAGCATATTTAAAAAAGAAAAGTGAGCTTTGCATTAACATTAGATTGTTAATACTATGTAAGCATGACATCTACTTTCCTAATTCTGTGGTCTCACTAATATATCCTATTTCCCACTGGCCCATAATAAAAACTGCCATGTGTCGAATCTGAAGGAGTTTGAACTTTGCCTGAAAATTGCATAAAATTTGAAGACTGACAGCTCATATACAGTGAGAGTGGAGCCTTTAGAGTAGGGAGACTGTCTCCTGACATTCAGTATGCCTCACAGGAGAAGTTGGGTGCTTGTCTTTACCTTACCCCATGTCTCCTTGTTACTCGGGTGACCTGGAAATCACTTTGTGATGGCATATATGCTACTAATGAGACATTCACACTGTAACCTGGACAATTGTACCAAACAGATACAAACAAAATATCAATAAATGTAGACACAAATAACTATAAAATAAATAGAGGATTGTTGGTTTATGTGCTTTTAGTGTCAGAGCTGTAACTTAAACTGGGGTCTGATGGATCGGTTCACAATATAAACTTCAGGCTTTTAATGAGTGCGCAGAATAATATATATGCAGAATAAAATGTAAGTGAGACAATAGAGGAAACATTTTACAGTAATGGGAAGTACTTGTTGAGATGCTTTAACACCTTCTTTGGCTCAGCTGACGTACTGCCAAGTAGCTGCAGACACAACAGTAAAATCCAGCTATTTGTTTATGATATCTCTATGAATTTTTAGAGCATACAGCAGTGACCTCAGATCCCTAAACTAAGCAGCATTTTAAAGTTGAGATGAGGATTAAACCAAGAAAGGTCACTTCTACTATCTTTGTCACGTGTTTACTTGTGTTTTTAACCATTGCTGGTGCACAGCCAATCCTGTCTATCCCAGCTACTGGGGGATCTGTGAAGCACCTACAAAGCCTTGTTAAGAGCTACTGTATGTACTGTAATGAAAATAAATTGAATCCATCCATCCAAGGAGTACATAAGGATCAAACTACAATCTGATGGCTCAGGTAAGCCTGAATTTTACCATCAGGACTATTTTCACTCTAATATAAAGTTCAAATCAGTCAGGAGGGTTTAGAAGGGAGAGGGATGACGTGACAGAGGTCCTGACTGGAGTTCTCTACTTCATCTCAGTAACAGTACACACAACAACTGACTGAGCCACTGAGACAGGCCAAGTCTCAATTATGAGAACTTGGATAGAAAGTGGCACTACATCTGCATTTTAACACACAGAATATAAATACCTGAGTTTTAATATACTGAAGACAGATTGTATGTAGTGTAGTACTCATGAAAACCAGCTTTATCGGGCGAAGGCAAAATATGGATATAAGACACATTTCAGCCATATATAACAGGGTCTGATCTCCTGCCTGTGCTGGTCATAAAGAGATTCCATGCTAAAACAGTTGCACTGTAAAAAAAAAAAAAAAAAAAAAAGGCAGAAAAATCTGTTACACAGAAGCCAAAACATATTATTGATTTAAAATTCACAATATTTTTGGTGTGACATGTGATCTTTACATTTCCCTTGACTGGGTGTCCTTAGTTACACCATGATGAGGGATACTCCCTGTATCTGGCATCACTAGTGTTCAAGTCCTCACACTGAGTGCAGTGCAACAGTATGCCTCATTTTTTATGTGAATTCGACAGCAGGGAGGTTTTTGCAGCTAACTGTACATATATTAGATGCATCTACTGTAGCTAATAACATGCTATGTGACAAGTCAGTATGGTTTCAAAGGTATTTCTCTTATTTTTCTCAAAACATTATCATTTTTCTTCATCTATGTGCATAATAAAGGCAGACAGAAGGTGGTCTTGAGATTTTCCAAGGTATTAAAAAAGAAAGAGAACATTGATAGTTATATGATATTTAGACCAAAAATAGCACAAAGGCGACAAAGGACTGCAGTGATGAAGTTGTATGGTTTCACTTATCTGTATCCATCCATCCATTTTCCTTCGCTTCTTCACCATGACTGGACCGGTACATTGACCACATTACTGCAGAAGCTGCACCGATCTGCCTGTCAATCTCCCATTCCATCCTTCCCTCACTCGTGAACAAGACCCCAAGATACTTGAACTCCTCCACTTGAGGCAGGAACACTTATCAGTAGGAAGATGAAATATGATCCAGGAAGGTTGCTTCCACTAATAGATCTATGAGTTTGAAGGCTTATCAAATGCAGAAACATAGTCCAGTGAAGGTTTTACAGTTCTGGAATATTATCATTTTATCCTTTATCACAAAGTACAATTGCAAATTAATTTTGCAGGAATATGCACCTGCATGTATTTGATTGCCCAACTCAGTGCTTTGCCACACTGCACTGCTAAAAAAGTAGATAAGACAGGTTGAACTGTTTTGTGGACAAACCTACATTATTTTTGTGCCTGTGGCCCTGTTTTGCTGATCCTAGGAATAACTGAAGTGAAACATGGACTTGTGCTTGTTCACACAATATGTGATATTGTGATTGGTGTGGCCAAAAATTTAATCTTGATGTTTTTTTAGAGTTATGAATGATTCACAATTTGAATAGATTTTTTTTTATCTACATGTACTCAAGACAAAACATGATTTCAAAATAGTTTTCTTTATTAAAACTATAAGCCATTTTCTAGTAACTAGGGCCATATGTACAATATCAACAAAAGAAAAACATCCCTAGCAGTACTACACATTGTAAACATAAAGACTAACACCAGGAGCAGCTGCAAGGGTGTCACTATGCATAATTTTTTCAAAAATGAAAATTATTTTCATATATGACAAGAGCATTCAGAGAGTGCGCGTACCTCCGCCAAGGCACAACATCCACTTATGCAAATGAGTCCCTTGTGAAAAATGAGATCCAGAAGAACACAAAATGTGTCCTAAAATCCTTGATCTGGATCATTTTTTTAGGGTATAATAGGCATGTATGCTGTGCATCTTACCTGAACATTTCAGGGTTCTGCATTCATTATAGGCCAGGTTCATCCATCTGTCCATTATCTATACCGTTTAACAGGGTCACAGGCGGCTGGAGCCAATCCCAGTTGACACTGGGTGAGAGGCGGGGTACGCTGACATTAAGAGACAGATAACCGCACACACCCACTCTCACTCCTACTGGCAATTTAGAGTTGCCAATCCTTTGTCTGTTTGCATTGTTTCCTGCCTGTTTATACTGCGTATTATGTTATATTACACAGCCTTATGCTGGTTTACTCTTTACTTGCTCCTTGCATGGGGATATGTACATGCACATTGAGAGCCAATGTACCAGAGTCAAATTCCTTGTGTATCCGACACACCTGGCCAGTAAAGCTGATTCTGATTCTGAACCTAAACTGCATGACTTTGGAATGTGGGAAGAAGCTTGAGTTATAGGCCAAGTTATGGCAGAAAATATGTGTTAAATGGGGTTTTCAATGTTAACTTTAATTGGCCGTCAGAAGATAAAATTTGATCTGGTGATAGACAGGGCCACCCTACATATTTCATGTTTCAAGCACAAAATGATTTTGATAACTTTTGCCAGAGACATGATTTTTTTTGTTCCATGTTATAGGTTGGAATTTTTTGTGATTTTTTTTTAATTGGTTATTTTTTATGACCTTGGCCTTTGATCTCTTTGAGCCAAAATCTAATCACTTCTAGGGTTGGTCCCCACCAATGGCTGTACCAAGTATGCTGATGATCCATCTAGCTATTTGTCTGTAATCCTGCTAACCAACACACAAACACACACAGAACCAAAAACATAATCTCCTTGGTGGAGGTAATAGAGCACCACAGGTTGGCAATGACTGGAGAGACATATTCACAGTAAATATAATACAGCAAACAGATTACATTTTTGTTGAAAATGAAGGATCTCCAGTATGCTACTGTAACCCCAGAGAACTGCAGGTGCTGGCTTTCAGTGTCAGCAGAGGAAGCACTGATAACAGCTTTGTGATTTAGGCATTTTTTACGTTGTTCAAAAATATAAACGAAAAGAAAAATCTAATGTATTTGCTCTATCACCCAGTCCTATGTCAGTATGAGCATGTCCTTACATTCCACTGATTATCTTTGAGGGATCAAGCAAGTAAACCCACTGATACAGGAGCTCAGACTTAATGTGTCAGCCCCATTTTACTTCACTTTTAAATACCATACCATTTTCTGCTTAGCATTAAAACTCAACATACTGTAATTCTGAACCATGTCTATTCAGTTTGGCTAACACCCAAACAAAATCCATACCCTATGTTTAATGCCAGTTAGAATGCATCACCACATGCACAAAGCCTACCTCTGCATGTGGCTGTGTACTCATATGAATAGGTGGATCTATGGTGTACATCTTTTCCTAGGAATGGCATCTCTCCAGTGTGCAGCAGTCAATTTAAGATTCATGAGATTATCAGCAGGCCAACAAAGCTGATAGAAATAATATTCTCACATGCAACTGCAAACACTTCACACTTCAGCGTCCTCACCGGTTGCCTCTCAGCAGCTCCTGAGTTCTGGTCTGTGAGCTGTGTGTGCCTGTACTTCCATGAATAATTAACTATATTAATAAAAAAGCCTTCAAAAGCCCTCTAGCCTCATGAACCCTGAATTAAACAGTTGATTTGCAATTACAAAGCCTATCTCAGGCCCTCACGCAAGGTACCAGAGGAGCCCCAAGGAGCATGTGGCTAGTGTGGGTTGGAGTGTTTATGATCCCTTCTGGTGACAGTGGCCCTTCTAGTTGTGGTGGAATAATGTGGGTGTGTGTGTGTTTGATGGGGCCTGCTAGGGAGAGGATAGGGTACATCTTATGTCTCTTATAAGCATTGTTGTTTCCCTCACTTGTGTCTTTCCCTTGTGTCTTAGTACGGCCCAAGTAAGATTCGAGGGAAACGTGAGGAGTGAGGACTCGAGGAAACAGTATTAACGACATGAGACGTCCTTTCCTCAAATCCTTCATCTGAAGTGTCCAATCACAAACTGATTTCTGTTAAAGAGGCGTCAATTGACAAACTTCTGTGTTGGACGGTCTCGGTCATGGATCCTCCAGCACCATCCTCGGTCCTTGCTCCTCAGTCCTCTGATATAAGAGAGTAGACCGAAATGACTTCCAGGTCGACTAGGGATGTAGAAACAATCTTATAAGAGACATGAGATATACCCATAATGTGGAGATTTTAGCCTCTTCCGTCTTGCTTTTCCAGCCCTTGGGCAGATCCTAGTTCATCTCTAACATTCCTCTCTGTGGGACAGTGTGCCCCCCGACTGTGTCGATCTAATAGTTCAGGATTCATAGCCACTGTAAGGAAGGAGGACTGTTTGTGTCCCATCACAGACCATGTGGTTATGCATTGCCTTTTTATTAACTAAATCTATGATCTTTTCCTAACCTTAACTGTTTGTTCTAGTTGGCTAACCCCAACCATACTGTGCCATCCTCACTGAATCTATTTCAGGGTCCAGAGCTGGGCACCCAAAATTCTCATCTGTCACTAGGATTGTTTCTGTGGATCAATGCAGAGAAAAATTTTAGGAGCTTGCAGAGGTGCTAATACATAAACTTCCCATATCTTGATATCACATTTAGTATCTCTACAATGCTGTTACGGCACATCGTACGTAGTGCGTGAGTGGACTCAAAAAGAATGCAGGACTCAAACTCGGGCTTGACTAGGTACTGTAAGTGCTTTTAATGAGTGACAGAGCTAGTCTCATCCGCCGTTCGTGAGGCAGCTGGGTGGACTGGACTGCTGGTGTTGCAAACCGGGGTTGAAGGTGGGACGCAGCTTGCTAAATGAGAGCAGAGGGAGAGAACATGAGATAGCTGAACAGGTATGCTGAGGTTAGAGCTAGTTCTGGTGGAATACTGTGGACCTGATTAGCCGACTGCGCCCGCTCTTGGCAGGTGAGCGCCGCAGGCAAAAGAAGCAGTCCAGGGCAGCAGGAGATAGCCGGTCAGATGAGCAGGTCCACGGCAGAGCAGTGGTAGGATGATGTGATGATAACTAGTGATGGCCATCTGACACCGAGGCCTCGATACATGATTCGAGCTCGGAGAGAGAACTTCCGCGAACCACTGCCTCGAGGCTTGTATCATTGCCGAAAAGACATGTGATTGATGACGTCCAATGCAGAAACGGCTGGCCTGAGTGACTCCCGTGACCGGTTAAAACTGTCGATACGGTGTTACAACGCGAGATCTTGCTGCGCGTGTCAGCAGGTGCGTAGGCGTAGGGGTACTATAAAGCCACCCAAGATGATGCACAAAATGTGGGTTTGTCGGTGTAGTAGGTGTGTGCGTAGTTGCTGTCGGCATGATCATTGCTGCTGGTGTGTGACCACCATGGAGCCAGCTAGGAATAAAAATGATTGATTGTCCATCCCTTGTATTTATTCACACGTCCTAGTTACATACACACATATTACCATCTTAGCACATCCTCTGTTTCCCCAAGCAGCCTTCTCCCACCTGCATATGTTCATAGACTCAACCTACTGATCAATCAATCTTTACAAATGTTTTCACATCATTCACACAAAGCCTAGTTACACCCATCACATAATTCAGACATTGTTCTGCTGCATACTATTTTGCCACCAGATGGCACTAAAACGAACCTTTGAATGAATGAACCAATACTTGATACAAATGATGAAGTGGTTTGATATAGGTGTCATGGTATCAATTGGACATCACTAATGACAACTGATAGTGGAGATCCAGAATCTTAGTAAGAGCAGGTCTCCTCGCACTGAGAACAACAGGTAACAGTCACGGCACCACTTGGTGCTGAGAGAAACAAAGCAACAAAGGGCAGGAATCCAGACAAGTTGATGCCTAAAACATCCACAAACTGACAACATACAGTTCCCAGTATGCAGTTCTTCCATAGGGTCTGGGCATGGATGCCAAGCAAAGTTACTGGTGGAATTGCAAGCAATCATCTGGTGACAAGAACACACCAATGCTCACCTTAAGTACCACTTTGATAATTGAGAGCAGGTGTGCCTCACTGCCTGGAATGCACTCCCACCTATGCGGGGGCGGTGCTACTAGGATTACTCATACCAGCTGACGAGGTGCTGGGGGTGGCTAGGGCCATAGACATAACAAATGCTGCTCAGTTGTTCCAGGACACAGTAATGTTCTACCCAAAATGAACACAAGTGTAAATGAAAACTGTCACATCATTGCATCCAAACCAAAACCAAAATAAGTTGTTAATGCGCTTAATGCTCTTTCGAAGTATCAGACTGAAACTGAATGTTTCAGAAGTACATCTTTCCTTTGCTTCTGGTTAATTTGAGTTGCTCGCAGAATGAGCAAGTTTCAAAGAGAAATTGTCAGAAAATTGGGTTGTTTTCTGTCTGAAAATACTCCCACTGCTTTCATGAGAAGTTGCAGAAATTTCAAATTAGCCAAAAGCAAAGCAGCTTAATATTAGTTTTTAAATGAGTTAGTTTTCAAAGTGAGCAGTGACTACATGCATCTGTGGTATAGTCTTTGTTGTGTATAACTATAACTGCACTTTGTGTGCATCTATTTGTACAGGAGTGAGGATTAAACAAGTGTATTTTGTTTTGCAGATTGGTACCTGGGATCCTCCAAGTGGCCTGAACATGACAGAAAACCAGAAGGGGAAGACAACAAATGTCTCTGATTCCTTGTCCAATCGATCCCTGATCATCTCCACCATACTGGTATGATTTTTTTTTCAGTGCATCTTTTTGATTGTTTTCTGAACTGTTGCACTACTGTTCACAATTCTTTCACATTTTTCTCCACTGTTAGGCAGCTTTTACATTTTGTTTAGAAACCGAGGAAAGAAAAGAGGTTTACAAATTCACTTGCAGTGAACTGGGAAAACCCATGGTCAAGGTCAGGGTGGGTTTTGATAGGACATGCAGAAGGAAACAGCCAATGGGAGGCTTGGCATTTGACCTAGTTAGTAAACATAAACCTGCTTTGTGCAGCTCAGGATTTCACATTAATGAAGCCTGCAAAATTCAAACTTCTTGCTGCCATTTTGGGGCAACAATTTGAAAATTAAAGTGTGCATTTTAAATATCTGTTTATAGCCAAATCAAATTGTAATGGTGCTTTATGTGGGATAAATTATAGAATGCTAGAACAGCTCTCTGCCATAACAGACTCCCTCCAAAGATGTCATTATTTTTAAGCTTTTGCTCTTGAAAAATCCTTCATTGCATTGCCTGAGCTGCTCTTTCTTTTTAGAGCATTTTCTGGGGATGCCCAACTCAATTGAAGTAGAGTAGCCCAAAGCACCACAGTCTGAAATTGCCAGTTGACTTCACTACTGTGGAGGACTCCAGTGTGGTGGGAGCAGTCTCAGGGAGCAAAAACTGACTGATTGATTGTCCAATATGATTTCATGGTTTATTGCTTTACCTCCTATTGACCAGTTTATCAGGCATTTTGTGTCTCTCTTGCCAGTGGTGCCAAAAACCAAGCAACTCAGACAAAATTTTTAGAAGAACTGGTCCATTTAAACTCTTCTCATCTGGACCTCTGATTCATTTGGTTTAAATATAGTAGCTACCATGGAGGTCATGTCTTTGTTTAGTTTCTGGCTGAGCTTATTGATACAAATCATGCACTTCACACAGGCACATGCTGTGTGGCTATTTAGGCTGATTGATGATCATTACATTTAGTGTTTTCCAAAAAATCTAATAAAATTAATAACATTAAGTATTCTCCTCCAGCATTACACATCTGGCAGTGGAGACTTTCAAGTAACACCTGGTCTACTTACAAATATTTTAACAGAGCTTTTAATCATGTTCAGCTGTCATGGAGATGGATCTGTTTTAAAATATGAAATCAGGTGCTTTTATAGTTTTATTTATAGTGTCTTTCTGACTTCTTCAACACGATGGCTTAACAATCAAGCACCAAAGTTTATTCTTG